TAAAATATACATTCCTCATGTGATGTACTTCACCGAAAAATGTTTTTAGTGACTTTTGATAATTCTAGAGATAGGGTCCCTTAGGTACTTTACTGTTGAAAAATTGAAATTTCAAGACTTGCCCTGTTTGTGTCAATGGGCTGCCTACAAGCATCTTTTTATACTCTGTAAGAAAAAAAAAACCAGTCTAAATAAAACCATACATGATCCAATCCTTCAGTATTATTAGGAAACAGAAAATATCATAAACTTCAAAATACTGTAAATATAGAAACTAACACCAAATTCAACAGCACTCTTACTGCTGCTGCAAGCTCATGAATGTGGAGAACAGAGAAAGGAAGATTAAGATACTGGGAGAAAAACAGGAGACTGGAATGAGGGACGCACATGAATGACAAAAAAAAATTCACTTCCAGAAAAAGAAAACTCACTACAAAGCATTAAAACACTGAATGTAGGTGTGAGACTTGGTAATTCACAGCACTGGTTATAAAGAAAGTCTTGAAAGTAAGTAGTTCTTAAGGCAGCAACCTCAAGAAGATGGCTTCCGGGGGGAAAAACAGATTAACAGTATGGTACTTCTTTCACATATGACAATGAAAGTAAATAAGGGAGAGAAGAATTAAGGACCATGCTGTGACTATAGAAAAACAACACATGTAAACCACATCCCCATTACCATACATTAAAAAAAAAATTCACTATACTGACATAAGGTGTATTCCTATCCACAAAATGCCTAGGAATAATAAAACAATGAAATCCACATAAATTTAATCTAAGAAGAAAAAAGAAAATGTAAATCATAACATATTTACCTGATAAAAAGATTCTTCTCCCGAAACTAACCATGAAACAAAAGACAATTGCAATACAACTGTCATGGATTGAATTATGTCCCCCCAAAAATGTGTGTATCAATTTGGCTAGGCCATGATTCCTGGTATTGTGTGATTTTCCTTATGTTGTAAATCCTGCCTCTATGATATTAATGAGGGAGGACGGGTGGCAGTTGTGTCAGTAAGGCAGGACTCAATCTATGAGACTGGATTGTGTCCTGAGGCAATCTCTTGAGATATAAAAGAAAGAAGTGAGCAGGGAAACACAGGGACCTCATATGACCAAGAAAGCAGTGCCAGGAGCAGAGTGTGTCCTTTGGACCCGGGGTCCCTGCACGGAGAAGCTCCTAGTCCAGAGGAACACTGATGAGAAGAAGGCCGACAGAGAGAGAAAGCCTTTCCCTGGAGCTGATGCCCTGAATTTGGACTCTTAGCCTACTTTACCGTGAAGAAATAAATTTCTCTTTGTTAAAGCCATCCACTTGTGGTACTTCTGTTATAGCAGCCCCAGATGACCAAGACAACAACACTCCAAACTGCATTAGGGAACCTCAAACAAGAATTTAGGGGGTGTAAAAACTATAAAAAATTAAAACACTAAAACAAATGGACAAAACATGGAAAACAATGCATCAAGAGTTGATAAACTGTAGGAAATAAATAAAAAAAAAAATCTCAGAAAGGGAGAATAGAGTCAAATAAAAATTTAATAAGGGGCATTAAAGAAAGGGAAGAAAACAAGAGAATGAAAATAAAATAAAGAAAAAGGGCCAGAAAGAAAGTAGCAAAGACAATCAAACATATATATAATTGGAAGAAAAACAAAACAATGGAAGGAAACCAATACTTAAAACTGTAATTCTAGAAAACTTTATGAAAAACAAATAAATAAAACCCTTGAATCTATATACCAAAAGGACCTACTAAGGACCTGGTTAAAGTGACTTGGAACAATCAACAAGAGCTATCCTGGTAAAACTATTACACTTTAAAGACAAGGAAAAACAAAATACATAGATTAATTTACTTATAATGGTAAGAAAATTAGGGTTGTATCAGACACGAAGAGAACATACAAAGCAAGCAGGAAGCACTATTTTTAAGGAACTCAAGACAAGCAAGTGCAAAGCAAGAATTTTATGCTCAATCAAATAGCCCCTCAGGTATCAAGTCTACAGAAAAATAGTTTTGAACTTGCAAGAATTCAGAGAACACTGTACACATGTGCCTCTCCTGTGAAATATTCTGGAAGAGCTTTAGCCAGTGAGAGATAACTTTGGTAAAAGACTGAGGGTGATCATATATTTGCAGAGTTCCTGGTTGGTGCCAACAGCTAAGGTGCTCAGTTGCTAATCAAAAGGCTGGAGGTTTGAGTCCACCTGGATGTGCCTCGGAAGAAAGGCCTAGTGACCTACTTCTAAAAAATCAGTGACTGAAAGCTCTGTGGAGTACAGTTCTACTCTGACACATATGGGGTTGCCATGAGTTGGAGCTAGACCTAAAATAAGTGTGGAGGCAAACGAAGAAGAAAAGTATGTAAACTTTACATGTTTTGACAAAGTATCCGTAATGCAACTAAAAAAAGTAGAGGAGAAAGCGCAAACAGAATATCATTAGTTATGTGTGAGTTAGGTAATAGATGAGTCAAAAGACACCAGGTAAAAGTCAACAGAATAGAAAAGAAAGATGACATTAAAAAATGGGAAAGAACATTATAAATGTAAAGGTACCCACAGAACAAAAACACACCTTTCAAAATACCAAATGAAAAACTTAAAAAATCACACACAAGCCAAGTAGAGAAATAAATTCAATACAAAAAAAAACTGAAATCAAACCTGTTGCCGTCGAGTTGATTTCGACTCATAGTGACCCTACAGGACAGAGGAGAACTGCCCCACAGAGTTTCCAAGGAGCACCTGGTGGATTTGAACTGCCAACCTTCTGGTCAGCAGCCATAGCTCTTAACCAATACGCCACCAGGGTTTCCAAATTCAATATAGACTACCCAATAATTCTAATATAAAACAGCATATAGAGTTGAAAGCAAACATCAGGAATATAACTGAATTGGTGAATTAGTTTAATATGTCTATTAGAGCCGTAGTGGCATAGCGGTTAAGAGCTATGGCTGCTAACCAAAAGGTCAGCAGTTCGAATCCACCAAGCACTACTTGGAAACCGTATGAAGAGTTCTACTATGTCCTATAGGGTCGCTATGAGTCCAAATTGACTCCATGGCAATGGGTATTAGAGCCCTAAAGACTTTCAAATTGGATCATAAAGCCAAATCTAACTCTGCGCTATACATAAGAGACACACAAAGAACACAGTGAGTCAAAAAAGGTTAAAAATAAAAAGACTGGGCAAAGATACACCAAATAAACAGAACAATTAGAAAGCAGAGGTTGAAATTCTGGTATTAGGCAAAAAAGAATTCAGGAAAAAAAAATTTAAATGAGCCAAAGCTAGGCACTTTATAATACTTAAAGTCAAAATTCACAATGAAGGTAACACTTATGAATATTTATACAGCAACCAAAACATAGCAACTACTGATACAAAGCAGGAACTACAGGAGATGGAGGAGAAACAGAAATACACTAAGAGGTGACTTTCACACACCACTCTCAGTTCAAAAAAGGTCAAAAGGGGACAAAAAATAAGTAAGAATTAGATCTTTACGTAGTAAGTTGTATTTCTGTTAGGATTTACTTTGAACAGTATATCCTGATATTAGAAATTATACCCTCTTCTCAAGTACAATGCAACATTTATAAAAACTCATCGTACATTAAGTCAAA